CTTCTGGTTTAATGGTCTTCCTTTCATAGATGAGATAAAAATGATGCCCCCCCCCCCTTTTGTTCTGAACCAAAAGGCCTGTGGATGGTAGCCAACAAATACTCAAAGTAGGGCACTTGAATCATGGATTTCTGAATTGGGGTGCTGCTTCGGACATAGGGATCCGAAAACCAGGGGAAAAAGTGCCAGTTAATATTTTTTAAAGCTCAAACAAAACATAAGTATCCAAAATCACAAAATCGGAAGTGTGCACATCACACCCCTTTAATGGTTTCAAATTTCATGCTCTGGGCTCAGAGCAGCGTTCCTGTTAATGAGGGTCAGTGAACTCCTGGAAATCACAAGGCCAGTGCCTGCAGCCGGGCTTTGCATGGCTGGTTAGAACAGCTGCACAGCTCAAGAGAAAGGACATCTCTGATAGACATTTCCATCCTCAAGAAACATTGCAAAACACATGTGTACGCTAAAATTTCCAGGAACTACGTGTGTCTGTGCCTCAGCGCGGCCCAGACTAAGCAACACCGCCTTCAGACAGCTCATGTTCCTGGGCTATCACTGACAGGAGATGCCCCACATCATCCCCAAGTCTATGACATTTGTGTGCTGTCTAGATAAAGCTTTCAGGAGAAGCTTTGTAAAATGAGCACTCCCCAGAGGAAGGCTAGAGACACGGGGAGAAGAAAAGGTCTACTAAGAGGTGTAGGCACTAGCATCCAGCCGCAGCTGACTCTTAAAAGACATTTCCTCACAGGTTCCTTGATGCCGGGAACATCTGCTTCCTTACTTAAAATGAACATTATTGCCAGTACAATCAGTACATATCATATGCCACACCTTCATTGACTAATCATATCCTTAGTAAGCCAAGGGTATTTCCCTTACCAGTAATCACCACTAACCACTTGATTTTTAAAAAAATTTAAACCGGTGTTAACACTAGTGAACATAGCATGTCTATTTTTGCAGAAATTCAGTTTAACAGAAAATCCGTTGCTGCACCCACGTGTTGGAACACTCACACACACCCATATACACTGTCTTACACACTCACACTTACATTCCACAGTCACTCTATACTCTTATACAGTTCATTACAACCATACACTCACCCAGTCCTATGCCCACATTCCCACACTGACACACACATACTCTCCCGCGTTATTATACACATCACAGTCACAGTCATATGCACACTCACAGTTTCTCACGCATTTCCACATGTATACACACTTTCACACATACACACACACATGTGCGCAATCACTCACTTTTTCACACACAGTACCACACTCAAACCCTTGGCTCCTAGCTCCAGATCCATGTCTGAAGAGGGTGTGTCAGCGGGCTGGGGGATTCCGGTCTAATCTACTCCATAGGTCTCTCCAGGCATCCAGGGAAGAGAAGTCCCCACCAAGTGCTGTTGCAGCGTCCAAACCTAGTTCTTGATAAGGCAGGTGCTGTGAGCAAACGCACAGTCTGGTAAACGTCCAACCTGATGAATTTTGTCAACACGCTCCATTAATACTGGTAAAAATGGTGTTATAATACTTCAGAGATATAGATAGAGGATACATATTTATAACTATAAATATAGAGTAGAGAGATCATGTAGTTCGCAGCCTAACAGGGAGAAGAATTTCTGAAAGGAAAGGAAAGTTTGGGTAAGTGAAAAAAAGGAGAGTTCTTAGGCAGAGCATGTTGTGCTTGGAGGAATTAAGTCGACATAAAACCAAAAACCCACGGCCATCAAGATAATTCTGACACAGAGCGAACCTCCAAGATGGACCGGATCAGCTCCTAAGCTTTTCAAGGCAGTAGACCACCACTTATTTCTACAGCTTCAAACTGCTGACCTACTGGTTAGCAGGCAAGCACTTTAATCACTAAGGCACCAGGATTCCTTTCATTCTAAATAGGGTAGTCCAAACAGACCTCTTTGAAGGATGGTCAGAGGGGTGGGCTGAAAAATATGCAAAAGTTCTCAGGCAAGAGTGCGTTTGGTGGGGTTGAAGCACTGAAAAAAAGCTCATGGGACTACAGGTAAGAACAAAGGGGAAATTGGCAAAGAAGGTTAAATTGCTTCAGCTTTTCATCACCATTTCTACAAAATAAAATTAGCAAAATTGAATTTAAATTGTGTAGGTAACTATTCTTTCTGTTTTCCTTTTATTAAAGCCGTTTCATAACAGACATGTAATATACTTGGAAATCAATTCTATGATGTCATTTTCTAAACAGTTTCCAAATGCCTTCTTCATAATAGGGTCCACATTAAGTAAAACACTTTGTTTAAGGCAAGACCTAAGCTATTTATCATGGCAAAATTCCAAACAATTTTAAGTCAAAGGGAAGATTGTTTTGTGCACAAAATTAAAAGAAACATTTATAGTGTTAATAGCCACTTTAATGTATATTTTAAATGTTTTATATTAACAAAAGCATTGATTGAATTTTGAAAAGTTCTAAGATCAATTTAGGTACAGCAAAATGTGCCATGTAAATTAAATGGGATGTTTTATTATTCCATTATTGATAAATTGATATGAAGTCATCATTCAGGTTTAACTGTCTTGCTTTGAGAAATACTTTGGGAAAAGCAATTGGAAATAAAAAGTAATAGGTTTTGGGGTGGTTTTATTTTATTTTTTTTACTCAGTAAAAGCAACTTTAAACCACAAAGATAATTTGCAGTTTGACTTAAAATGTTCTCTCAGACAAACCAAACCAAATCAAATCAAATGCACTGCCACTGAATTGGTTCCAACTCATCGTGACTGTGTTACAGAGCAGAACTCCTCTGTAGGGTTTCCTCAGATGGAGATGGCCACCCCTTGTTTTCTGAGTGCTACTAGATGGGTTCCGAACAAGAACCCTTAGGTTAGTGGTCAGACACAAACCATTGATACCACGCAGATACTTTATCCTAGGTGCAACTTGTTTCTAAAATCTAAAAATATAAATTTCCAACACTACACAGGAATGTTACAAGGCTCTGCCCTTTACTGATGTTGACAGGGTATTCTGTATGAACGTAGCCTAAGTTTTCCTTGAGAAAGATGTCTAAGGGCTCATGGTGAGGTCTGCTGGCAGCCCGTCCTCTTAGAGGGGCGTTTCACACACAGTGCATTTGGAAAGGTCACTGCTAAAGGGATAGAACTGTGAGCAAGAGGCCCCTCACAACAGTTTGGGGTTGTTTTTTTTTGCCTTGTATAGCAGATTAAAATATTTTAACATCAGTGGTCTGTGCTATTCCCCTACATCACTTTGTCCAATTTAAGGAAATATGGCAGGTGGGCTCTAGGACTGTAGCTTACAAAGTAGCACCTGATTAACTCATCCTGATGTTGTTTCCAAGCAACTCTCCATATGATGTTGATCTCCACGGCAGGGCATCCCCCAGCAGTATCTTCTTGGCCAGGAGGCAGGCTGGTTGTATTAGGCAAGACAGGACAGCAAGTACATCTCTCCCTACACTTAGGACACGGTACATGCAAATCTACCATTCAAGATGAGGGAGCAACCTGTGTCTCTTAGTAGCTATAACTAACCACCTTAAAAATGACAAAGGCTCTCCAGTAGAATTAAAAAATAAACAAAACACTGCAGTTTCATTCACTCTCACCAAACTCACTGCCATGGAGTCGCTGACTCACAGGGACCCCATAGGACAGGGCAGAATTGTCCCTGTGGGTTTCTGAGACGGTAACTCTTTCTGCGAATATAAATCTGCCATGCCCATCTTTCCATCTGTTCTCCAGAATCTCTTCCGAAATTCCAGAGCTGTTAGGTCAGGCGGCATAGAGGGAACACTATTTAATTAGCATACTGTTGAAAAAGAATTCTCCGAATTGCTATCATTTCATACGGTTAAATCTCCTTTCCAATAACACAGCCTCACCAAGAAGCATCTGCTCTGGTTTCCAACAGCGTCTCAATCCTCGTCCTGACACACAATGAAACAGGAAAGGCAAAACCAGGCCTACCAAGTGGAGCCATTGCAGTGTGGCTTGCTACACATGGCTGGCAGAAATTGTCTGCTTTCATTCTAAAGATGGCAGTATGTGGACTGTTAGATCGTTTGTATTCAAATACCATTGTCCCCTTTGAAGTCAAAAGAATGCGCACTGTGTGGAGATGGGTTTTGTGCTCCTGACAGAACAAGCCCATTACACTGTACTCTTAAAGAGGGTGTGCCGTCAGTAAAGAAGGGCAACATCCTCCCACACAAAAGCTGTAAGGACTATCCTCCGCTGGCAGTCAGAATTTGTCTTTCAGATAACTAAATGATCCGTTCTCCAGAGCTTATTTCCATCAGGCCAGTCTGGCGGTATCTCAAGTTGAAGTTCTCAAGTTTTCTCTGCTGGGGAGAATGCCTCATCAGAACGAGCTCAAAATTTGTCGATGCCTTTTCTGTTGGGGTTCCCTAAGCGCCCCCGCCTCCGCCCGGGATCATCTAGAGGGGGACCTATTTTCCTCTTGCCTCCAGTCACAGGACAAACTCCCTTCTAGCATTTTATCAAAAAGGCTGGGCGCAAAATGGGCGACTGGACCTGACTCCTTAACTCCTGCGCTGCACAACAGAGCACTTGGGCTCAAGGCTGGGGCGCGCCAAAGATTCCTCTATGTCCCTCTCCAGGTTAAATGTGCTATTCTCACTACCTAGCCCCTCTTCCATCACACGGGCGCGCGCAAACACATGTAAATGTAAAAGGAAACTTGAATATTTCGGTCATGACTGAACATTACCATAGGACGCCTGACTGCGTCTCCCCAAGGGGATTTTTGAGACCATCTAGCGCATGCCCCTGCTAGGGAGCCAATCGGTGGTCAGCAGAGCAGTTGCTATAGCCACACAGTGTTGGGGCTTTGCTAACACTGCTCCCCTCAGCCCGCGGCCAATCGGCGGGCTGCTGAGCCGTTGCCATGACCACACCGTGTTAGGGCTGCCCAGGCGCCCCGCCTCGGGAACCAGACTAGCTGCTCTCGCCCCAGGACGCCCAGGGTCCTGGCAGCGCTCGCCGAGACACCAACCACGGCCACATTCCCTGAGCGTCCAGCATGAACCGCAAGAAGCTGCAGAAGTTAACGGACACCTTAACTAAAAATTGCAAACATTGTAAGTAAGAAGCAAGTGCGAGATAGTGCAAATGTCTGTTGCTTCCTGCCTCCACTCTGTATTTGACCTTGGAACCCCATCCTGCTGGTACTTTTCGGTGGCCCTTCCTAAAGAAGTCTAGAAGTGAATCCTGGCGGTGTGGTCTGTTGGGACTGCCCCCCACGCCTAAGATCATTAAGGACCCTTCAGACAGCCATCACTCTCACGCATGTACTTTCTTCCTTTCTGAACACTTTTCTTATAGAAAAGCGGATTTGGTTGTAGTATCAGACAGAGGCATAAAATACATACAAAAGAAGACCACTAAACAGTATCACAATCAACCTACTTCACCCTCCCGGAGACAAGGAACCTAGAGAGAATGGTTCGCAATGTTTTTAGGAAAAAGGAGTGCAAATGGCACAGGAAACTATCTCATAGCAAGGAGATGCTTGGTAATCAAAGATCTCAACAAAACTAAATGCATGGTAATGAACGTGTGTCCACCTTTAAACTTCCACTCTCCAGTTGCTGGGGTGAGGGGGGAGGGGGGAGTGGGGGTTGAAAGGAGACTTAGAGGTGACAAGAGTGCTTATTAAAGTTTTCTATCTTAATAGCATGTCTTAAAAGGAGGCCCTAGAACTTTATAGGAAACTTCCAGACACTTCCCAGACTGAAAAGCATAGTTCTTTGGGGACATGGATGCCATGATGAGGGATTAGATGAGGAAGGTGTCGTCTGGGGAAGAAGCTTCTAAAGTGTGGACTGATTGTTTTGTCCACGTGAAAAAACAGGAATGGCCATGATCCGAGTTTTAATTTAAGGGATTATTATACTTACTATAATCTGATGAGAGTTTTTGTTCTTCTCACCTATTGTTTTCCTTAAAATGCTTTATTTCTGGAAAAAGGCCAGGTATTCTCTAAATATCTAGTGACACATTAAAAAATAATCATAAACAATGCAATAACTACTGTATAAAACACTGAATCTGATTTAATTCCAGTTCAGTAAATTTGCCAGGGAGGAGAGCTAGGGTTGTCTACCCCCATGAAGATCTATAGACCTGGAAATGTTTTAGAGGGCCACTAGAAGCTGGAATTGGCTCAATGGCAGTAGGCAGTGTTTGTGGTATATTGCAAACGAGTCTATTTTAAAAGGTAAGTGGAAATGGAGTATAGTCAACTTTTTTGACTTACGTCAAATAATTTTTAAGTAAGACTTACAAACATTGGTTACTATGTTTAATTCCATAGAGACTGTTAAAAATCACGGATAATATAAAATTTCTTTAAACATATGAGCGTCCCTACAAGTTCTAATTTGTTTTTAGTTGCTAGATGATGTTGTCCGCAGGGGAAATGGATACTCTATTGTACAATTGGGGAAAAACAGAATCTTAAGAGATCATCTATTTAATCCACTCTACAAATCTGATCTAGAAGACACATTTACACTATTCCTAAAAGATGAAAATCCATTATTCCCCTTAATTTCACTTCTAGAATTTGAGAAACATATCAGCAAGAACTTTTTATGGCTAACCTACTGATCATTCGGGTAATAACTTAAGATCATTTATATTTCAGGCATGATTGAAAAATGTTCCATTAGCACTTGACACAGTACACCATCATCATACAGCCCTTTTTTCCCTCGCCATTAACAGCTCTTATTAATTATTCTTATTTATCATAGTGTTTAATCAGGTTACTTACTAATTCTTTTAGATGTTTATCCCAGAAGGGTCAATGCTGTTCTTCAATTGTACCATGCAAACCTAGCAGTAGCGCTCAAACCTGGCAGAGAGCAGGCCCAGTGTGGTGAGGTGCGTGTGCTGAGTTCCTATACACCGTGCTCCTTAATGTACACACAGCTTCACCCTTGTTTCTTTTTAAACACTCGAGACATTTGTATAATAAAAATGTCTTCGTTGTCCATACTTTATCTTTTAATTTACGTTTATATTCCTGCTACAAGACCATCAACTTTGGTTCTACAGACTTCAAATGGAGCGTGGGACACTGCCCCTAAAGGGTTCTGTGGAAGTATGTGTAGGTATGCGTATTTGCGTGTGCTCAGCTCACTGCCAGCAAGCTGATGTGGACTCATAGCAACCCCATAGGCCCCTGTGAGTTTCCGAGACTATAACTCTTTATGGACGCAGAAAGCCCCGTCTCTCTCTGAAGAAGTGCCAGGTGGTTTCAAACGTTGGACCTTCAACATTGCAGCCCAAAGCATAACCTCCATGCCACCAGGTCTCAAAAGAGTATAGCTAGCGATAGACATTTTACATTTAAAAAAGACCTTCCTCCAAAGCGCCGCTAATCAGTTGCATGTAAATTTTCAAATGATCCCTAGCAGGAGCCTTATCGGGTACTAGAATATTCTTAGAGTGAAGTGACTTGGTGCCAGCATGCAGAAATTCATGGTGTCACCTTTCCCCTCCTGGGCGTGGCTTTTCTGGCACATCCTGCTCTCTGCAACTCTGCACCCGCTCCTATTGGTTAAGGCAGAGAATGTCACTTTACTCAGTAGTGTGCACTGCATCCTACCTGCATGTACCCAGACTGGTGGGTTAGGACCAGAGCGGGTGAGGAGTTACCTGAATGATAGGGAAACCAGCCCTAATGACACCGCTGCGATACCCGCCAGCCCCTACCTGCTCCTTTACTACCTCAGACTCGGATCATTGTGCTGTCGGTCCTGACACTGTCCAGGGGTGTAGACTGTATCCACACATTCCCATGCCATGTACAGAGGGGGCTTCAAAAGTTGTGGAAAATTGCAATGAAGATAGAGTGGCATTTTCTCACGCTTTTTGAAGCACCCTTCTACTTAAAATCTCCTTTTTATTAGAAAATAGATGATTCTGGTTTTCAAATGTCTGCATATGGGCTCACTAATGTTAGATTGGCATGGAAGGATCCTTGGTGGCACAGTGGTTAAGAGCTGGCTGTTAGCTGAAAGGTTAGCAGTTTGAACCCACAAGCCAGAGATCAGTCGAAGAGGGATGTAGCAGTCTGCTTCCATAAAGATCAAAACAAAACAAAATTCATAAGGGAAAAAAATCCTCATTGCTGGTTTTCCCTGTCTGTAATCTTTAAAGAAGTAAGGCAGGCCATGCAGTTACTGGTAGATTCTAATCACCAACCTTGTGGTGACTAGCTGGGGTCCTTAATCACAGTGTCAGGATCCTACGTGGCACTTCTGTGGGCTATCGGGTTGCTATGAGTCAGAATGAACTCGACTGGCAGCAGCAATGGCTTTTTCATTTCAACTGAAAACTATTGCCTGGTTTTCAAGACTTGATGTCCATTTCCTTAGAAAAATAGGTTAGCATATATAGTTAACATATAAAATTCATCAATACAGGTCATCAAAATGCTAAAAAGGAACATTTTTTAAAAATGTTTTTTAGTTTTGCTGACATACAATTCACATACCATACATTTCAATGATTTAAACAAATTTAAGAATTGTGGATTAACTTCCTCTCATTTTGTAACACATCAACCTGCCTTGCAAAGGCTAAGATCTGCTCCCACAATCATTATTTAGGTAATTTTGCTCATAGATCTTTTTCCTGCACACAACTTTACTTCTGTTTAATATTCAATTCCTGTCAGGAGGTGATACTTCTTTTTCTTTAGTGGATAGTGTACCATTGGTCCTCCTCTGAACTCAGGAGTCTTAGACCTCAAACTAGAAGAACATTCTGATGACAATTATATATTTGGGGTGCTTGCTTGTAGCCTCGCTAATTCTGAACGGAAGGTAGAACTTAATAGTAAGATATATTTTGTTGTATCTCCGTTCTGTTCTTCTCTAGTTAATACATATGAAGTGAACTGCCTAGTCAACCTCTTTTATACCTTGGTGGGAGATGTAGCGGAGCGGCCTGGTGTAGTTGTTGGGCTGGATCGGAATGCATTTAGGAACATCTTGCATATGACATTTGGAATGACCGATGACATGATTATGGATAGAGGTAAGAAGACATGAAAGAATCAGAGGCCAGACTCAGGTATAACTGGCAAAGAGGCTATAGATGGAATATATATATTGATGCGATGTACATTTTCAAATACTCTTGAATATAAAATTTAGTTTTGTATAGATCAAAGGGAAAGTAATTAAAAACTCAAGTATTTAAGAAGAATGCAGTGCTAAGCAGCTAAAATTTTCACTTTGTCTCAGAAAATTGAAAAATGTTATATTTCTATTTAGTAATATGGTAGCAATTATAATAGTTTTTAAAGGATATTTAAATTATCTTCCAGCATAGAAAGTATTTCAGTAAAAATTAAAATATAGCCCTTCTCTATGTAATAGTATCCCCCCCCCCTCAGGTACCCAAATAAAAGTGTATGCTGGATAAGAATTAATGTTATCATTGATTTAAATGTTAGCACATTACTTTAGATAAACCCTGTAGATAATGTTCATTTAGTTCCAGACTGCCACAATAAAGTAAATAGCACGATAAGGTGTGTCATAATAGAGTGTCATACAAAGTTTCAGTTTCCTAATGTATGTCAAAGCTAATTCACACTACATTGTAATGTATTGAGTGTGTAATTGCATTATGAGAAATATTGTGAAGGTTGCCAAAATGGACAGCAGAGACCAGACGAAGCAAGGGCTGTTGAAAATTGCCACCCATGGCCTTGCCTGTGACATTGTTACCACAACCTCCCTTCCTAAGAAAAAGAAATGCATATCTGGAAAGCTCCATAAAATGTGGTTTGCCTGTTACATATTTGCATATTTAGGATTTTTCTTTATTTCCATAAAATACAAAGATTGAAATGAAAGTTTAAATAAGAGTTTTCTGGTAATTTGGTGCACCCATTTCTTCCTTTATCAAATATAGACCTTGGACCATGTAATCTTGAAGGTCCCTCTAGATTTTAAAGAAGGAAGTATTAGTGTAGGTCCATTCCTTAGAGGGAAAATGTGTGACATCTCGCTTCTTTCTCATTAGTGTTCCGCGGTTTTGATAAAGATAATGACGGCTGTATTAACGTAGCAGAGTGGATTAATGGATTATCAGTGTTTCTTCGAGGGTCTTTGGAAGAAAAAATGAAATGTAAGCATTCAGTTTATCTAAATATATGATGGATTTTATGATCATAGTTAACAAACCTCAAGTAGGTAAAGTAGACAATGAAGTGGGTGGTTTGTTTGCTTATTGTAATGTCCGCCGAGTACCACTGACGTGCATGGAATGAAACCAAGGTAATGATAAAAGATGAAAAATAAAAAGGTTAAAAGGAAAATTAAGAGATTCCAAGAAATAGTTCCTGCCACACAAGACTTCACAGGCATATTTTACACGTGTTAACAATGTAAGTATTCTTTTAGGTATTAAACTTTCTAATTTCTTTACTTGAATTGTGACTATTGAACAAGGGAAGATCGATTCCAATGTTCAGATTCTTAATACATAATTCATCCTGATTGCCTCTGTTTAAGAGCCCCACTCTAATCAATTTCCCTAGAATAACGAGGCGAAAATGTCCACAATATTGTCTGTTTCTATGTTTTCATAGCTGACTGTAAGAAAACATACTACAAAGATGGTTGAGTCTATTCCACTAGCATACCTGAAGTCCTTAGTATGGAAGGCAAAGGGTTCTGGGGTTGCTAAAAGCATCAGCAATGTAAATCTTTGCCTAGAAAACTTGATTAGAGAAGACGTTTGTGATAGTGTCAAATTTATAATTTGTTATTTTTTTGAAAAGATTGCTTTGAAGTGTTTGATTTGAATGGTGATGGATTCATTTCAAAGGAGGAGATGTTTCACATGTTGAAGAACAGCCTGCTCAAACAGCCATCCGAAGAAGATCCTGATGAGGGGATTAAAGATTTGGTTGAAATAACACTTAAGAAAATGGTAAATATTGCCAAATTAGAGTTTACCTTGACATTGACAGGCCAGATATGGAATGGAGTGAAGAACTGAGATTCTTATTGCTCCCTAATTCCTGCTTGTTGAAGTAAAAGCTTGAATATAATATTAAAAGTTCTTAGCATGTGGCTTGCCCTCTTTTAGGACTATGATCACGATGGGAAGCTGTCTTTTACAGACTATGAAGAAGCTGTGAGAGAAGAGATTCTTCTGCTGGAAGCTTTTGGGCCATGTTTACCTGATCCAAAGGTAATGCTGGTACTTTTTTACTGAACCATGACCAAACTATGAAAATAGAAACAAGGGAAAGCAACCCTGGATTAATTGGCTGATGAGTAGCAGATCAGATTAAGTTCCCCCATAGAGAATTCCTTCTAAATCTGAGCATCCCATTGATGAAGAATCTGTCTATTTTTTTCCAGACTATTTGTGTAGCCCAAAGGACCCCGGTGGTGTAGTGCACTGCCCAATTCATTGAACTGCCCGATCCATTGGGTTGCTAACTGAAAGGTCAGTAGTTGAACTCACCAGCTGCTCTGCAGAAGACGAGACTCAAAACCCCACAAGGAGAGTTGTATTCTGTTCGATAGGGCCAATGAATCTGTATTGGAAGAGGACTCAGTATGGGATACACCTGGCAATGAGGTTGGGCATGCATAGAGGGACCAAGTCTTAGGAAAATTGGAACCTGAATTTTGTCTTGAAATTAATGAGTGGTCAATGAAACATTTAAAGCAGGTGGAGTGATGTGATATGGAAATATGACTGCAATGGTTAAGTGCTCAGTTGCTAACGGCAAGGTCAGCACTTCAAGCCCACCAGCAGGAGAAGGGTAATATTCTGCTTCTTTACAGACTGCAGCCTTAAACCGCATAGGACTGAACTCTCTGGGGTTACTGTGAGTCACAATCAACTGGATGGCAAGGAGGGTGAGGTAGATGTTAGACTGTGTCACCTGCTGCTTACTCAAAAAGTCCGCCTAGGTGTATTGAACAGATTCTTGATTTTCCTGAAGGCTTCCCCAATTGCTGCCTTTCCTGACTCAGTAAATGGCACCCCACATACTGTAGTGTTCTGTGAGAAATCAGAGTCCTTCTAAATGTCTCTCCTGTAGCAGTACTAGCCTAACAAAGGTTCTGAAATCTGAACATCAGCTATTACTCTCTGGCTCATCTCGTCTTCCTCCTATTTGCGTTTGTTCCTGGAACTGTACCTGCTTTCCCAGTGCCCCTCGATGCCTTGGCCTTGATTGCTTCTCCCCTGAACATTCAAGGCCTCAGTTCTTCTTCCACTCCTTCACTGCCATCTTGACTTCCTTAACTAGGCTTCCTTCTTCAGCCTTTAACTTTTCTTCACAGTCATTATCATCCCCCAGAATGATAATGTACTCATTTGTTCCGTGTCTGTCTCATCACTCAGATGTGCCTTCCCTGAAGAACGCCTTTCTCTTTTTTTTCATGGTTATTTATCTATATGCTGTGCTTAACACACAGCACGTTCCCAGGAAACACTGACTGAAGGAACGAGGGAATCTCAAAAGTATTTGATAGACATTTCTGTGTTGATCTCTTGCTAACTCCTCAAGAACTGCTTTATCATTTACTGTCTATTCTCTTCAACTTCTCTTCTGTCTGCTGATACCTTTTCATCAAAGTTTAAGCATATTCAAACCTGTCCACCTTGAATCAAAGGAAGGGGAAGAGTGGGGGAGGGAAGATAAGAAAGTGAGAACTTATCTTAATTACATTTAAAAAAAAAAACACCTCATAGCAATCCTATAGGAGAGATTAGAACTGTTGCTCCGTTTCCAAGGCTATAGATATTTACAAGAGCAAAAAGCCTCCTCCTCCTCCTGCAGAGCGCTGGTGGGTTCAGACTGTAACTTCGTGATTAGCAGCCCAATTTGTCACTCACTATGCCACTAGGGCCCTTTAACTCCACCCTTGCTGCTTACTTCCATTTCTCCTGCTATTCCCTGCACCATGACTTCCTTTTACAGTCAAGATTTTTGGAAGAATTCCCTAGATGTACAACTGACCATACTGCCCATTTTCTTCCTATCTATATTAATAATGAAGACTATGGATTGTTGTTGAGTGCTTGTTCTTCAGGACCATTATCCTCTCTGATCCTGGCTATCAGATTGACTTCTCCTCTCTGCAGCATCCCGTGGGCCATTCCTCGGTCTTGTATGACCTAAGATGCTCATCGGAGGGCAGCCGTGTTTTCATTAATCTTATAGGCCATGTTCTTCATTAGACTGGAGAATGTAAAAGGTTAGGCTGACATGGATTTTTCGTGTTACTCAGAATAGAATTAGCTCTGACACAATTCCAAACATGATGTGAGAAAATCAGAATTTCTTGAGTCCATCCCCCACAGTTATCTGTCTCTCTTCACAAACTTTGAGGAGACACATAGACACTTTGTTTGGTTCTGAATTGTTGGAAATGTATACTAATTTGGGAACTTTTATTTTACAGAGACAAATGGAATTTGAAACCCAAGTATTCAAAGATACACATGAATTCAATTATGGCATATGAGCATCTAAATGTCTGTGTTGTCTCGAGAGTAAAAGAGGCACCGGCATATTGTTTATTTTTTCTACATAGCTGAGAATAATGGTGAATTGTGCATTTGGCTGGGCTGGAAAAGGAGGACTCACACATTCCATTTAATTTTGGTGTAAGGGGCAAGTCCAATAGATGGAAGATAAGAAGGTTTTAGTTAGATGATAGTTACTTTCCACAGAATATCTTTGTAGGCATGTGGCTGTCCTAAAACATCTAGATTAATGACTGGAAATTAGATAATCACATGGATTATTCGTATGAATATTCCTCATGTCCGAATAGCTCTGCGTATAGATTTAAGAATTATTGAAACTACTAAATTCCCCTGTGTAGGCAATGGGATAGATGTCAGCTCACCTCTGTGAACAATGTCCTCTATCGCCATGAGACCTCAGAAGGGGATGGTGCCTGCATGCCATTCCTGAATATTTAAATCAACACCCTATCTTTAGAAGAATTCCATACAGCAGGAAACACGAGGAAGAGATTTTCAGATCCTCATGGAATCCAGTTTTTATGGAGCCCTTGAAGATGACGTACCCCTAAAATTGATTATTCCCTGAAGCAATCATTCAACCTTGGACAGAACCATATTGTTGTGAAACACTATTGAATCTGCCCTGATTCACAGTGACCCCATATACAAAAGAAGCAAACACTTCTTGATCCTGCGGTCTTCCCACTGTCGTTCCATGCGGGAGCCCATTGTTGCAGTCAGTGTGTCGACCCATGTCTTCGGAGCTCTTCCTCTTTTACATTGACTCTCTGTTTTGCCAACCATGCTGCCCTTCTTCAAGGACTGGTCTGTCTTGGTAATCTGTGAAAGGTATTTAGTACAGAGCCTCCCCCTCCTCACTTACAAGGACCGTTCTGCCTGTGGGTCTTCCAAGACAGGTGTGTTCCTTTGTCTGGCACTCCATTCAGTCCTTTTCCCCGGCACTGAATTCCAAAGGCGTTCATTGAACTTGGGCTTGCTGTCTTCACTGTTCATTTTCCTAGTGCATGGAGGTGACGGCACACATCATGGCTTGAGTCAGGAGCAGCTCAGTCCTCAAAGTGACATCCTTCCTTTTGAATACTTTCCAAGAGGGCTTTTGCGGCACATTTACCCAACACAGTATATTGTTTGATTTCTTGACTGCTACTTTCGTGATTGTGTATCCAAGTAAAGTCCTTGACAACGTCAATATTTTCTCATTATCATGTTGATTCATTTGAAGACTTTTTGTTTTCTGTACGTTGAAGTGTAATCCAGATAAGGGCAAGTTCTTAAAGTCCTCTTTACTTTCCACAAAGAAGGCTGTGTCATCTGCCTATCACAGGTGGTTAATGAGTCTCCCTTCAGTTCTGATGCCACACCCTCCAGATAGTCTAACCCCAAAGTCGGCTCTGTCGGCACGCACACAAGGCTCTGAATAAAATGGAGAAATTTTAAAGAATATCATTTGGATAGTGGTGGTATCCAAAAAAAATTTTTTTTGTAAAAATATATTTATGACTCGAGTGATTTTAAATGGTGGTGAGGAACAGGATCAGCGCTTCAGTCTCAAAAGTGTGCCGACCCCTCGCTACCTCACAGGTTCTGTTCAGCAAAAAGATTGAATAAGTATTGTGAAAGGGTACAACCCTAACGCAAGCATACCTTGCCTTATTTTAAATCATGCAGTTATCTCCTTGTTTTGTTTAAATGACTGCCTTTTGTATGTTCAAATTCTACACGTGCTGGATTTCCCATTCTTCACAATGTTATCCATATTTTTTTATGACTCATGCAATCAAATGACTTTGCCTAACCAACAAGACACAAGTAAACATCTCTTTGATATTCCCTCTAGCCAATACCCCTGGACATCAGTAATGATATCCCTTATTCTATGACCTCTTCTGAATCTGGCTTAAATTTCTGGCAGCTCCCTGTAGATGTATGGCTGCAATCTCATTGTTGAACTATCTTCAGCAAAATTTTACTTGCATGTAGTAATAATGATATTATTAAACAATTTCTTCATTCTTTTGAGTCACTTCTCTTTGGAATGTGCACAAATATGTTTTTTCCCCAGTTAATCAGTTAGCTGTCTTCCAAATTTCTTGGCATAGACTAGTGAATGCTTTCAGCATCTCATTAGTTTGAAACATTTCAACTGATGTTCTGTCAAACCCTGCAGTCTAACTAGTTTTGCCTGAAAAGAAAGGAAGCATGCTCTTAAAGAATTGTCTATATGTTATGTGATAAGCTGAGAGCGCAATGAGTATTTGTTAATGATGTGAGACAGTTTTGAAAAGCTAGAGGAACAGGTGAGATAACCTGAAAAATGTAACCAGTATCTCTGAATTGTACATGTAGAGATTGTTGACACTGTTTGTGCTTTGTGTGTTTATTTTCACCAAGATAGAAATGGAAATATAAAAATTAAACTACTTCATTTCCTTTGGTTAGTAAATGTCATCAAAACCTAAAGACTGTTGTCATTTGGCAAGCATTTATTAAACATCGTTGCATCAGAAATTGAAGGAGACACAGCAGAATAAAAAATACATGTATATTAATATATTTTATATTGTCATTGTTTGAAGTTGCTAGATTTTGAGTTTCTGGAGGGCAGGTATTTATCCCCACACATTTTTACCTGTGTGATTGTTGGCACATCTCTGCCCATAATGGGCTTTTAATAAGTATTGCAGACTGGAATAGCAAGTGAAAACTGCCAACCCTCAATATGTTGAGGGAGAGAAATGGCTTTTTGTTTCATAAGATAGGGTGCAGGGTAGCAACAATGAAACATATAACTTTCCTCTAGATCTCTAATGCTTCCTCACCCAACTATCATGATCCCAATTCTGCCTTACAAATCTGGCTAGACCAGAGGATGTACATTGGTACAGATAGCAACTGGAAACACAGGGAAACCAGGATAGATGACTCCTTCAGGATCTGTGATGAGAGGGGCGATGCCTGGAGGGTGAAGGGAATGTGGGGTAGAAGGGGGAACCAATTACAAGAATCTAAGTATAACCTCCTCCCTTGGGGATAGACAGCAGGGAAGATGGTGGGGGGAGACATCGGACAGTATAACTTATGACAAAACTATAGTAATTTATGAATTTGGAGGGTTCATGAGGGCGGGAGGAGTGGGGAGGGAGGGGGAAAATGAGCAGCTGATATTAAGGGCTAAAGTAGAAGGCAAATGTTTTGAGAATGATGAGGGCAGCAAGGGTGCATATGTGCTTGACATGGTGGATGTATGTATGAACTGTGATAAGAATTGTATGAGCCCCCAATAAAATAATTTTTAAAAAAAGATTAGTAGAAGGGACTCTGATGGCATCATGGTTAAGTACTGGGCTGCCACCTGAAAGGTTGGTGGGATGAAAATGTAAAGCTCTGGTGATATTTTCCTATAAAGATCAAAGCCTAGGAAACCCTGTGGGGAAAATTCTACTTTGTCGTGCAGGGTTGCTATGAGTCAGCATGTGTTCAGTGGCACCGAGCAACAAAGATAAATGGGTGATTCACAAGCTGAGCTTCCAAGTTAGCTCTGAATCCATTCCAGGGACCGAGCCCCAAGTGCTCCTCTGAGGCTGACAGCTCAGGTGCAGGACTCACTGGCGTGACTGTCCTCCCTGTACTCCACAGGGTTCTCAGCACATTGTTCTGTAATTGCTGATGTATTTCCCCACACTGGCCTGTGTCTCCCAAAGATACAATTCATCTCTGTGTTGGCTTCTGATGGGTGCTGATGTGCACTGACTCAAAACCCTAGAGAAACCATCAGTTACACTTGTATGTGTTCGTTTCTGCTTCTTTAGAAAGCATGTCTTTAAGAAGCAGAAAGAAGTCTTTTACCAATAGTTGTTTTATATTTTGTCCAAGCTTGGGATAGTAAGTTACTCTTGTTAATATATAAATTTAAATGAACTGGTAAATTGTGTAACTGAATAGGCTGTTAACAAATAAATGGAATAACTTCATGAAATAAAACAAATAATATTCTACTGTCCAAGTATTATTTTAATTTTATATTCTTATAATAGGTGGGCTTTGACATAATGTTTACACTAGCAAGTAATGCATCACACAATGCTTTTCATTTTTTAAAAAGTCTTCTGATAAAAAGGTAATAATATATACATGTGTCAATACCTCTATTTTTGTGAATTAATGTATTTACATATGTACACCTCTATGTTATACCTCTATCCATATACATATATTTATACGGCAATATGCTGAGGTAGAGGATGGACTTTGGGCCTCTGCTCAT